TGGCGGATAAAAAGTATATGGACATATTGAGTTCGTATTTTAATACTTCGTCCTAATTTACTATTACAGCTCTGAATGTTATAGTGATCCTGAACAATCCCAGGGGTACTATTATTTTGAAAGCTTGATCTACGTTTCTTTGTTAACAAGGTTCCCATCATTAATGATTCTATGGTCCTATTTATGAATTTTAATCTTTCAAGCTTCGCCATAAATTCCCAACGGAACAATAACCTCGTGATTTAAAACATTAGTTGATGAACTTGGTGATATAATGATGTCCATCCCTGGGCCAGGTAGTTCAGACTTGGACTCAGTGGAAACGGGTGGAGCAGTGACCGGGGCAGAACTGAATAAGAATTACACGAGACAGTACTACAGTCAAGAGGACGAGAATAATCTAACCCTTAGATTAGATAAAAGATTCAGTTCTACATTCGTTGATGTTTACCCGGAAAGGAAGAATCCAATGGAGACCCGAGGGGCAAAACGGGCCAAACGTTGTGATAACGACAACAAAGTTGAGGATAATAGACCCAATGTAAATAATGGTAATACAGGACAGAAATTCTGGATATCTTTTCGAATTCGCTGCTTAAATGCTATCTCTAAACACGCGTTTGGTTTCTGCCTTGTTTTTTTTTAAAAAAAAAAACAGGGGAAAAGGACAGTATTTACATTAGTCGGACTATTTTCCTCATCTTTGTCGCCATATTTGTCACAACGTTTCGTTTCGTTGCCGACAAAGATGAGGACAATAGTCCGACTAATGTAAATACTGTACATAATACCTCGTCTCAGAAATATAGACAGACCCAGGGGAAAAGGAGTTTATTGCTCTACATGTAGATATTTATTCATTAAAATGCCTGGTTTTGCATATAGAAAGATAGGAAGATAGATACACAGATATCTAAAGTAGGCTAGCCTTTGTAAATATCTATTTAGCTCACCTGCATCAGACATAGTAAATATCTAAATTGGTCAATATCTACTAAGGGCGTTTATTTTCGAAAGACATGACCAAGGATTTCGCTTCTCAGGGGTTAAACCTAAACTTTTCAACAAACACCGAGTACTACTCAAGTTATCTTTTTTTTCTTTCTTCCTGGATTGCGATCAATCATTAGTATCTGTGATATTAATCTGCAATGAAAATGGTAATATTAAGCGTTTCCTTATAAGGAAACATTCGACATCGATTGACCGAATAGTCTGTGTTATTCGAGTTGCTCTTTTTTCCTGGCCACGAGGCTGGGATCAATGTATTGTATCTGTTCTCCATATCTCCAATTGCAAAAGAAATATTACTTATTTCATTATTCGGCATTCTTTGAGTGAGCAGCCATTGTTACTTTTGATTGAAATTTATAAAATGTTTCTATTGAAACAATTTTTCAAGAAAATAGGTTTCTCATGTCCAGTAACTATTATTGGTCTTTCTAGTAGTGATAGGGATTTTTTTCCTAACCGTTCGTGTGACGTGGAGTGGAATTATGTCATTATTTTCTCTTTGAGTTCCATGTGTTATCCATTTTAATTGTTGCTGCCGTTTGACGTTTTAAAGTGATATGGTTTCTCTTATTCGAAACTTGTGGACTGGCACTACACAATCACAATCACAAATAAAGAAAAGAATCTTTGCGAATGTGTAGAGTTAGTCCACAATTTTGGAAGAATAGTCCGAGCTACGTCCTACAGACTTCATTCGCCCAATGCCATAGGAAACTTAATGAATATCTATCAGGTAAATGACGCATTTTTTGGTTGGTTGTTAATTTGGTCGTCTAAGTATATAAAAAAATCTCGACTTGAAATATAGGTTAATTTGCAGTGTAACACCCACCTTCAGTTCGCATTGAAAATTCTCCAGAATACTTACATTTATGTCTAATTGTACATGGTCCATTCGGATCTGGCTTGATAAAATCTACCGTTTTGAAGTTATCGACAGTAAAATTTCGGATTCAGTCAGGTCGGAAGCTGCCATTCTGGGTGTTGTCTGGATACATTTGCTGCAGAATAGCTATCAGTGTAGGTATCATTGCGCAAACTGGGCGTGTCTACGTAAATAGTTCTCGTGCGCAGTAATTGAGACAAATTTAGACAAAGAAGATCAGTTTTGAACTTAGTTTTTCGTAGTCTTCCGCGTTTAGCTTTCCGCAGCGAATGTATGCAAACAACGACAGTAATTGGTGCCACCAACGACGCGAATGAATCCGTATTTTTACTGTCGATATCTCCAATACAGTAGATTTTATCAAATTTATCAAGCCAGATTCGAAGGAAGCATTTACAATTACACCAAAATGTAAGTATTCTGGAAATTTTTAATGCGAACTGAGTGCGGGTGTTACAATGCAAATTAGCCAAAATATAATCTTAGTATATAAAAAAATCTTGACTTATTCCTAATTGTTCTTTCAATATATTGTTACTCATAAACTCAATGAAAATGATTACAATAAAACAATGTCGAGTAAACTTACTATATGAGTACAAACTTAGAAAAAGAACCATTTTGGCATCGAATAATTACATGCGACGAGAAATGGATGCCTTTTGACAACAGTCAGAGAATAAATCAGCGGTTAGATGCAAGTCGATCACCAAAACAATGCCCAAAACCTCCACTTCACTCTAAAAAAAATGAATGGTTACTGTATGGTGGTCTTTCTAAGGGGCTATTCATTATTCATTCTTGCCTCAAGGGAAAACAACAGCATCATATTGCGAAGAAAGTGTGTGTATGCACGAAAAATTGGAAAAGAAACATCCTAGAATATCTGTTTATATTTCTGAGATAAGGTATCATGTGCACTATTTACATTTTTCGAACTATTGTTCTCATCTTTGTCGCCATGTTTATCACAGTGTTTCAGCCGTTGTACGCTCCGGCCTTCTTCAGGTGGTTGGAATGTCGAACTGAACCCTTTATTTCGCTCACTGGTATAGACTGTTCTAGTTCTACGTGCCATGTCTAATGGCTGTCAGTTATCTCCTGTCAATCCCCCCCCCTCAAAAATCTCTTCAGCCGATCAAGCATAAAAATGAATACAATGTGGGAACCAGTAATAAGGAGCGCCAGAGAAAAGCGATAATAACAACAAAAATGTAATATGAGCTCTGGTAAAAAAACATACAATGATAACAGCAAAAATGCAATATGAGCACTGGTAAAAAATGGTTGCTGAAGACATTAGATTTACAATACCCAGAAATTCATACACAGATGTTGTCAACGGCACATGGCACAGTGGATAAAGGCGTTAGCTAAATACCTGGTTAAGGCGGTGGAGAACTTGGAGAGGGGAATTAACAGGAGATAACTGATAACTGACATCCATTAGACGTGGAACTTGAACAGTCTAGACCAGTGAGCGAAGGGTTCAGTTCGACATACCAACTACCTGGAGAGTACAACGGCCGAAACGCGTTGTGATAAACATGGCGATAAAAATGAGGACAATAGTCCGAACAATGTAAATATCCTAGACTTGTGAATTTTGCTGCATGACTTCACACGGCCGGAAGCTTCTTAATCCAAAAGTTGCATGATTATGAAATTTTGCTACATCCTCCATATTTGCCTGATATCTTTCCTACTAATTCTTAATTATTTAAGGATTTTGAGTTTTTCATACGCCATAAAACATTCTCCAATAAAGAAGAGGTAATCGAAGCATTTGAATTGTTTATCACATCAAAGGATGCGAATTTTTTTACAGATGGAATCAAGAATTTAGAGGTACGTTAACAAAACAATCATTCATCAACATGGTGCCTATTTCAACTAAATAAATTAGGTATTTAACATTTCAGAAGTGCTTTATTCATTTCCTATAAAGTGTGTCATTTCATGTGTGATTTAGGGAGAGTCGCGTAAAGTAATGTTTAGAATTTTATCGTTAAAAACACATTCTTAATGTGCTCAAATATTACTGGATGCACAACAAATTTTGCTTTGTCCCCGAGTAAGTGAATTTTACCAAATGCCATCTTAGATTACCTCCTGTAGTGGGATTATTAGGATTTTAAATTACACCTCTTGTAAGATGGATGTGCACGTAGCATAGATGATTAAGTAGAATTATAAACAGGTACTAATCGATCTCTTTTACCAACACCTCTGGATTAAATAGTAGGGTAGACTGAGCTACATAGCTTTAGTTGTTAACCAGTCCGGGAGAAGAGCAACTCGAAATTCAAAACCAGTTGGGCGTCGACCAAGTACCTAGTGTGGTAAGGCTGTGATCCTATACTCCATACCCCCGATTCGTTGTCCGTTGCCCCATGATTTTTTACCTCGTACCAACGTCAGACTGACGGAGACCTCAAGTGGAACAATATGCGATTCATCGTTAAAGATTCTCCTTATACCGCTACAGAAATGATCAGACTCCTCCGGCCATGCCCTATCTTTACAAGAGGAAGATTAGAAGAGAAATAGAATATTGTTGACAAATCTGAGCTCAACCTGCCCAGTACTCACATCTACCTTTTTCTGGGGGTCAGTGAATGATTATTTTGGCGCCAAGTGTAGTTCATTTTCCGTACTAGTTTACTGAGTTCGATCCTTACTATGTGACTATCTACATTGTCTTTGTGCTAGATGATACAATAGATTCTTCAGTAGTCGGTGTTTGAGCCTAGTTAAAATCAGGAGTTAGAAGGTTGATTTTTAAGGCAGATAGTATTTAGTCACTCAAAAGGTGTAACGCTATTTTCCTAAATATATTTCATCTCATTTTGGTATGTGTTAGGCGAATCTCATATTTTCTGGTAAAATCAGTTCAAATTTGAAATCTTACACTTATAGGAAAGCAAAAGTTTCCCTCGGATAATCAAAATGTTTACGACTGGAAGTCTTATAATCAAGTTTTATGGAATGTCATCTATATGAATTCCATGAATATGGCTGCTACGTATTGTTATTATATCTAAATTTATTTATATTGGTTTTGCAATTCATGTAGCTTCGGTTTACGAGTGTTTTGAGGATGGCAAAAGTTGAACTGTATTTGTTTGGTACCTTTTCTTTTTTTCTTCTTTTCTTTCTTTCTTCTTGTCTTCCTATTTTATTCTTGGTTTCTCTAATCCTTCCTTCCTTCCTTTCTTTCTTCCTTTTCATCTTTTTCTTCTTACCTCCCTTCCTTTTTTTTCTTTTTTTCTTTCTTTCTTTCTTTCTTTCTTTCTTTCTTTCTTTCTATGTTTTTTTTTGGTTTATTTTTTTCCTTCCTTCCTTTTTTTTTCCTTTATTTTTCCTTCCTTCCTTCCTTCCTTCCTTCCTTCCTTCCTTCCTTCCTTCATTCATTGTTTTCATCTTTTTCTTCATCTTATCTTCTACTCTTTCTTTCTTTCTTTTTTTTCCCTTGATTTTTATTTATCTTTATCTGGCTTTTCATCTTTTTCTTATCTTCCACATTCTCTCTCTCTCTCTCTCTCTCTCTCTCTCGGTTTCTTTTTTTCTTCCTTTTTTTTCCTTACTTTTCATTTTTTTCTTCCTCTTATATTCCATACTTTTCTTTCTTTCTTTCTTTCTTTCTTTCTTTCTTTCTTTCTTTTTTTCTTTCTTTCTTTCTTTTTTCCTTTGCTCTACATCTTTTTTCTTCCTCTTATATTCCATACTTTTCTTTCTTTCTTCCTTTCTTTTTCTTCCTTTTTTTCCTTGCTTTTCATTTTTTCTTCCTCTTATCTTCCATACTTTTCTTTCTTTCTTTCTTTCTTTCTTTCTTTCTTTCTTTCTTTCTTTCTTTCTCCTTGTTTCTTTTTTCTTCCTTTTTTTCCTTGCTTTTCATCTTTTTTTCTTCCTCTTATATTCCATACTTTTCTTTCTTTCTTTCTTTCTTTCTTTCTTTCTCTTTGTTTCTTTTTTTCTTCCTTTTTTCCTTGTTTTTTTTTTTTTTTTTCTTCCTCTTTTCTTTCTTTCTTTTTTCTTTCTTTTTCTTTTTTTTTCTTTTTTCATTCTTTTTTTTTTTTTTTTTTTCTTCCTTTTTTTCCTTGCTTTTCATTTTTTTTTCTTCCTCTTATATTGCATGCTTTTCTTTCTTTTTAGTTCTTTCTTTCTTCCTTTCTTTTTTTTCTCTCCTTGGTTTCGTTTGTCAGCTTTTTTCCTCTTTTCTTTCACATGTTCATCTTTCTTTCTATTTTGTCATTAGTTTTTTTTTATATTCCTTCATTTTTCATTCCTTCTCTTTGTGTCTTTGTTTACTCTCACTCTCTCTCTCTCTCTCTGTTTTACTTATTCGTTATCTCTCTGTACTTTACATCTTCATAGCGCCTTACCGCCCCCCCCCTCCGACAAAATGCCTCGTTAATTTTGATTTATCCTTTCCTTTTTTTTATTTCTTCTGGAATTTCTGCAGAATAATTCCAGAGAAAAACTATGAAACTTACTGAACCGTTTCGTTTTTCTTCCCACTTTTTTTCTTTTATTTATTTATTGCAAATGACTCGAGAATTTTATTACACCTAAGAAGCTATCGTATTCTTTATCCGTCGGCAATTTCTTTTCTCATCGTTACTTTTGAAATGATCACGCCAAAAAACAGATTTTTTTTGTACGTACTAATTAGTCATACGCCAAAAAACTGACATATTTTTCTTTACATCGGCGCCATTTTTTTAGGCATTTCGGCCATTTTGTGTGTGTCTGTGAAAGTCACACACATACACACATTACGTCCCATCAACATTGAAGAAAAGAATTATTCCTGTAAAAAGATTTTTCAGTAAAAACTGGCAACCGTATTCAGTTATCCAGTGCAAAGAAGTCATCAAAAAGCCTTTTTGATTTAATAACATGTGCTCAACAAGCAACAGAGAAATTACAAGGGTAAAAGATAAAAAATACCTTTTGAAGATTGGATAAATGGATTATAAGACATTCGGACAGCAGAATTTTTACCAGCAGAAGCTTCTTGATGTGCCGCTGTCGGGTTATTTCCTCCTAATTTCTGAAAATGTCAATAGGGGACGCTCCAACTCTATATATACTCAGCGATATCTTTTCTGTCCGTCTTCTTACTTGATTCCTTTTGTAGGATACACATGAACATTACATACACACACACGAAAGTACGCACATTCACTCATTTCATGACCACAAACTTTCCACAAACATTTGTAACACACACACACACACACACACTATTTTAAGACATTTTTATGTTTATACATTCTTTTTATAGATACAAATATTTAAGTAAATGCTCTGTTTTATAATAAACAGTATTAAACAACATTTACCGGCCTGAATGTCTGAGAATTTTTCATAGAAAATATTCGTCCTCCGACAGGATTCGAACCTGCATCCTATACCGTCCTTTAGCTTGACGTGCCTTTACCGATTTGGCCACACAGGAGTGTTCGGTTAGCAAGGTCGAATTTTACTGTATTTAAACTTCAATCTTCCATGAATCTCCCACGTATATTCATATCTGCTCATGGCGTCTCAAATGTAAACAAATGACGTCACACATTCTGAAATGGGCAAAATCCGACAATTATTTTAAGATATTTTTATGTTTATACATTCTTTTTACAAATACAAATATTTAAGTAAATGCTGTTTATAATAAACAGTATTAAACAACATTTACATTTACCGGCCTGAATGTCCGAGAAATTTTCACAGAAAATATTCGTCCTCCGACAGGAATCGAACCTGTGTCCTATACGGAACCGTTATATAGCCTGACGTGCATTTAACCGATTTGGCCACAGAGGAGCTTTCGGCTAGCAAGGTCGATTTTACTGTCTTTAATCTACAATCTTCTATGAGTCTCTCACGTACATTCATATCTGCTCATGGCGTATCCAAATGTAAACAAATGACGTCACACATTATGCTGTAGAATTGAACCGAAAGTCACGAAGAAAGAGATTGTCAGTGATTATGTATCGATGCAACCTTTACTGACAGAATACAGTTACGGTAACTAAAGCATGCAATCCATGAGGCAGGACATTCACCAATGCAGACAGTGTGGCTGTAGAGCTTTACTCTCCACCCCCACCCTCCGGAAAATTATTCGCCTCCACCCTCAGTGAATGAGATATGAGCTGATTTTAATGTGAGAAAATGCACTTCTGAACTGTTATGCAAGTGAATCGAAGTTGCTTTCATGGGATCGATCGTTGTATGAATCTGTTGTCGGCCAAAGGTTTTCGAAGCAAGTATGGAATTCAGATGGTGTCCATGAGGCAGGTCAAGAATGGAATCCAGACGGTGCTGGGATTTTTTTGTGTCTTATCAATGACATAATCAAATTGTCCAAATCGCAGTAGACGGTAGCTGTCCATGTCTTCTTATGTTGACAAAAGGCAGTCATAGGAAACGGAACAATTTGTTCAGAATAAAACCTTCCATCATCCATTCACACTGTACGTCATCGCTATTTCGATTCTATAAATATTGGAATCCAAATATGGATACCATTCCTTGCTGCCCACTTTGGTTTTGATTTTCAGTTTTTGGCTTCTGTGTTCTGAGAATGATTAATATTCTTCTCTTTGAAACTCTTTGTTGCAAAAGATTAGGAAAGAAGAAGAGAAACATTTTTTTTTTAGACAGCGGCTCGGATTGAGAAATTGGAGAGCCGAGTTCGAATTCCTGTCGAATCCCTTACAGTCATTTACGTGTTAATACTGATGGGAAAGGTATGAATCCTCTTCTTCTCCCTATATGTTTAAATAGCAAGACAGACCGGATTCTATAGCCCTGGATGGCAACTGATCTACCACAGAAAGAAATGGCAACTTACTGCGGGAGAAAAATCTACCTAGTCAGTCATGTATCAAAAGATACATGATCGCCTAAGCGTGTAACACGCATGGCACATAACTGACTGACTGTGGGGGAATGAAAACGTGAAAAAATGTTATTGGGTTATAATTTACAGTAGATATAGACCCCCTCCTCACACGAAAAAATCGATACCTAAGGTTTGAAATGCATTTTTTTAAAAAAGAAAAAAAAATCTTTCTTGAAATTTTTATTTTAGTTTTAATTCCAAGCTGATAGATTACATTTAATATTACCAAAAATCAAAATAATTTTCTGTATTTCAAACCGAACTTCAATTGATCAGAAGGATTTGTTTTTTGGATTATCAGAAAAATCGTTAAAATCGTCCATATTGATCCATCTGTCGACACAACATAATACTCTTTATTAGAAATATTTCAAAAATAAAATATGCCTTTCGGAAACGTTATTTGAGAAACATTAGCTAAGTTCAATTAATTAATTAATCTGAATTGAAACAAATATGACTTACTTCAGTTTAAAATGTCACCGAAAATAATATTTAACACGGAAGTAGGTGTTTGTCTGAGGTGTTAACAAGACTATCGACAGCCTATTGTTTGGGAAATTTATATAAGGAGATAATTGCAATAAATTTACATGAAGAATACAATATATTTTTATGCCATTTTTGAATTACTTGGTATTCTTAAAAGTTTCAAGCATTCTAATATTTTATAAAATTTTTGGTACTTTGGCTTACTTACGAAGACGCCTGTTGATATAATGTTAGAAAATTACCAATAAATTTAAAATTGTAGTTAGTGTTTTTTATGTTTTTTTTTAAATACGGTGTATGGACGTCCGTATTAGAAAAAAAACAGCACGTTTATACATACACACACAACACACATACGAAAAAAAATTATTTTAAAATACTGGATGTCATGTAATTGTAGTAATCTTTTCTGTTTATGATTACTAATACTCTTTTTATTTAAAAACAATATCACTTGACTGAGAAATTAAATCGTTAATTTTTTTGGTTAAACGAGACCACCAAGTATAGACAATTTGCTCTGAATCACAAAAAAAAAAAAATTCGTGGAATAATGAATTTCTAAAAGACTTGTTTATTTTTTAAAATTTTAATTAGAATAATTTATAAACATTTAAATCTTTTAAAATTCTGTATCAATCTGTAAACTGATACAGAATTTTAAAAGATATAAAAGTTTATAAATTCTTCTAATTAAAATTAAAAAAAAAACAATTCTTTTAGAAATTCATTATTCCTCGAATTATTTTTTATTTTATTTTATCTTATATTTATTTTTATTTTATTTTTTTTGTAATTCAGAGCAAATTTTCTATATTTGTAGGTCTCGTTTAACCAAAAAATTTAACCAAATTTTCTATATTTGGCGGTTTCGTTTAACCAAAATAAATTTAACCAAATTTTATATATTTGGCGGTCTCGTTTAACCAAAAAAATTTAACCAAATTTTCTATATTTGGAGGTCTTGTTTAACCAAAAAATTTAACCAAATTTTCTATATTTGGAGGTCGCGTTTAACCAAAAAAATTAACCAAATTTTCTATATTTGGCGGTCTCGTTTAACCAAAAAATTTAACCAAATTTTCTATATTTGGAGGTCTTGTTTAACCAAAAAATTTAACCAAATTTTCTATATTTGGAGGTCTCGTTTAACCAAAAAATTTAACCAAATTTTCTATATTTGGAGGTCTCGTTTAATTAAAAAAATTAACGATTTAAATTCTCCGTCGACTTGTCCTCATAGCAAATATTAACATCAAGCGCCAAAAAAAAAAAAAAAAAAAAATTATCGAAATTTCATAAAATTAAATAAGAGGTTGGCGGATAAGTAAAAAGTAGTTTTATAAACATTTTCTAAAAAAGAAACATTTAAAAAATAATTTCATTAATTAAGTCCTGTCTAAAATTCGATGTATTAATTTTTAAACAGCGTAATGGTCTTCAGGTTTTTAAAACAAACACTACTCACCATTCTGAAACGTTTGACATACAGTGTAGTTATAAAAGCCTTTAACCGTCGTCACTTACACTTGCGCGATCGTATACAAGATAGTCTGGCATATATTTACTATCGTAGTGAACAATGAGTTTCATTAAAATCCAACAAATATCGGATTCTTGCAAGATTTCCAAATAAACGTTTTTCGCTGCAAAAAGACGCTCAAATTTCCAATACTAATTTATGGAATCACGTTGACGTGAGCAAAACAAGATATTTCAATAAAATTTCTAAAAAACTTCTAAAAGGATTAAAAAAAGTAATCTTTACATATAAAAAAAAACTCCTTT